GAGAGAGAGAGAGAGGGCACAAAGTGTGACATTTCTGTTAGGAAATAGAAGTTACAGAAACAACATTCTCACTACAAGCATTTTCTAAATACTGTGGACCAAATTTCCTGTTGACATAACTCTGCTGATCTGAGAACTTGCTGATTCTTCATTGCTCTTGACCACATACTCACTTCCAACAGTCCATAGTCTATGGGATTTCATAATTAAATAAAACATCTATGGAACATATAACTATACACTAACTTGCAGAGATGCAAAGGTCTTAGAAGCCAAGGCAATTTAAAGTAGTTAGATTCAGCTAGTCTAAGCAATGATGAGCAATAAAATAGTAAATCAGTAGTTATTTTTCCTTCTAAAAATGTGAAATCTGTCCTTCCTGGAGACAAATTAATGTGAAGCTGGTAAAATGCTTATGAGCTTCTTTTCTTGGAAATGCAAAACTACCTTTGCTTCCTACTGGATATTGCAAAACCCTGTAATCCCACAAGTGATCAGACTTTTAGATTCCATTGGAATAGGGAGTGGAAGAAAAAATGAATTTAACTCGCTGAAAAGATGCATTACCCATGTGTCACCTTACTAACCTGTGGGGGTCCGAGATGTGAACTCTGGATCAAAATGAAAAGTGTCTTCTGGCCGTCCCACTGCAGGCTTGAAAGGTGGCTTGATTTCTTTTCTGTACAGTTTCTAAAAGGAGAAGAACAGATCATAATCAACATCAATGTGTACACCTTCAGTATCTGCAGATAGATTCCCCCTGTTGGTTCGGGGTGTCCTCTCTCAGCTGTGTGCTACCCTTGCAGGACTGACAAAAAAGGATGATGTATCCATGGCTCTAGCTCCTGCTTGACAGGTCAGTTTAAAAACCTATGCCCTGGATGGTCCCTGCACTTTTTAGCTACTGGAATCCAGAATATAAACACAAATGCTTCTGGCAAAAAAATTTAGCCCACAGACTAGCAGAGTATTGCAGCTGGGGCATCTGCAAATTCACTGGTCTAAGGGCAGGACTGGAATGTGCAATGGTAACACTAGGAAACAGGGTGACTTCAGCGGTGCAGCAATGGCAATCAGCACAAAGAAGTGCAAGGAAGCTGTGACTGTTTTAGCGTGTACTGTTTGTCACGAACGCGCAGTATGTTTGACACCCTGCCAGACTGAGCTGAGCAACAGGCTTGGCTGCCTGGTCCTTACAACCTAAACAAGAAACTTGTTCTTTTGGCAAATCTGGTAAAAGGGAAGGGCTTACAGCTGAGGATTAGATGAAATTCCCATCAAAAGATGCTAGAAAGCAAGCAATGTGGCTGGGTAGGGAATCATATTGAAGGTCTAAATGTGGCTTGTGCTGAGGAGCAAAACCAAGGAAAAACAGAAAAAAAAAAAAAGAGAGGAAGGTATGTAACAGGTAAGCATTGCTAGGTATGTGAGTTTGTGCTGGTGACTGAGGGGTCATGTAGGGGATCACCTAAGTAATAGGCACCATAAATCCATCCTAATATACTGTCTTTACTACAAGGAACTCTGTGGTCTCTTTACTCATGCTTAATGATCTTTGAGAAATTGCTTCACCATGCTCCTATGCAAGCATTCATACAAACACAGGCACACACACTCTGGGAGATGAACACACTGAGGTACAGCATGTCTGGATCTGATCCAAAACCTGTAAAGGTTAATGGAAAGAGCTCTATTGATTTCAGGCATCTTTGCATCATCTCTGCTTGAAATGGCCAAACCGAACATCACGCTGATGGCAGCATGGGGAACAGTGCTCCAGTTTGACTCCCTGCCCCATATTTCAGGACCTAGACTGCATTTCCTTTCTAGCAATGCTTTTGTTCTCAGGTTTCAAAGGGCTGAATTAGTTGCCACAGACAGTGCTCCATAATTAACATGTCTGAGCATAAATATAACATTTCATCCAAACCTTCAAGTCATGGTAAGAACTGGGTAGAGTTCTATTTTATGACTGTTTGTAATATGCATTTTTAGAGTAGCTCTTAAAACAACTTCCTAATGAGCTGATTTTTCAAAATATTTAATGGAGATTAATAAACATTTGTCCAGCTCTCTGCATGCAGGAAGATTCTTTATAACTGTGGTTATAAACAAAACTTGTGGTGAATTAACTTCTGTAATATAAAGCATGTGGTCAAACCAAAGATATATACACATAAATATAATTTGAACTAGATTGTGTATTGATAAATAAAGATTCTTGAAGCAGGACATTCTGTAGCATAGTATTAGCCTTAGCATAAAGGATATGTTTGTGGCTGAAATTTGATTCCTTGGAAAAGTGAAATGATGAGGCTGGAAATGACTCTGCAATAATTAATGGTCATTTCACCATAAAAAGTTCCTGCTTGCGTAAAACTGCTCCATATCTTCTGAGAGAAAAAGAGATGAATAACTGCTGTGAGCCACAATGGAAAGCCAGTCTTCCAAATAATTAAAAGCCAATTGAAATCTTAAGCAGGAAGTGTCACTCATCAGCTGAAAAGTATCAGCCTAGTAATTACCATATATCTTTATCTGTCTGCACAGAACTCAGAAGAGAACTCAGCACCTACTGAAGGTTTTTCTGTTGCTAGGATTTCACCTTGAGAAAGCTTTTTGCTTCCAGCTTCCCTTTATTTCTCTTAATTCACAACTGCAGTGCTTGTACTGCAGGAAAGCAGTATGGTCACATGCACATGCTTCCTCCCTGAAATAAATGCAGTGCTCATCCTGTGAGGTCCAAAAACTGAAAACTGTTTGAGAGCTGTACATCATTCAGAAAACTGCACTCTTTTTATTATCATAACCATATTCTCTCTGGCCTCTTAATTCCTTCCCCCATCTGTAGTTTCTTAAGTGCTGTTGGAGCTACATTTGTATTTTGAATCCCTAACCCACATCCTCCACTACTAGGGAGGGATTTCAGATTCATGATGAGTCACACACCACCTAAAGTTGTGTAATCATAAATTTGCTTGCTTGGAGGGGATGAAAACAAAGAAGTTGCTTGTCTGAATGAAAGGCACCTCCCCTGAGCACAACCTGGATGACTCCTTTTTCTATTTCCTTTTCCACTTGTGATAAAAACTATTTCTGGTGTTTCTGGCTGAAAACACAACAGCAAAAGGTAAACTGCCTAAAACATATTTCTTTTTTTCCCAAGCTCTTGAGTCGGGTAACTAAATGAAATCACTGAGGACCAAGAAAAGCAGAGCAGTGTCATCTATGGCCTTTTCCACCCCACACTGGCTCCAGTTCTGAGTGAACCAATACAACAAAAGCCAAATCACTAAACCATAAGGCAGACGAACACAGTTCAGCATGAAGGCCTGATGCAGGCAGAAGGCTTCATCCTTTAAAAACCTGCATCCTGTAGACTGCAAAACACAACGTGACACAAGCTGATCTAAAAAACCAGTAAGGATCACAGCAATTGTTTTCTATACACATAGAGAACAAATCTCTTGAGGATTTGAGATACTTCTGGATTTTTCAAGAATATTTCTAATTTTACAAAATGTATTAACCTATTATCTCTTACCATGATCCCAAAACTATTCAGAGCTGATGAGTCTTGACCTTGACCTCTTCCAACAGAAATGAACCAGAGTGGCAAATGACATAGCAAGTTAAATTTCAAATCTTGCCTTTGATGGTTTCTATCAGCCTGTCACATAACTCCTGGTAGAGTTTAAAGAGATATTTATTTTCCAAGTCATGGTAACCCTGGTACTGTATGGAAAAGTCACTGTGAGTTCCATCATCTGTTTTAATGGGAACAGGGTCCTGATTTTCCCAGTTTAAATCCCAGTTTTGACATCAAAATTATTGTTTTGGGGCATCTCATTAGGCATTCAAAAGAGACTTTGGGTATGTTAGTGCTAACTGAAGCATTTAAATTTGCAGTTGGGTGCTTAAGATCATTATATGTGTGTTATTTTGCACACATATAAGAAGCTGAAGATCTTTTTTTCACCTTGCTTGCACATCCATAAAGAAGATGTTTGATTGAGAATGTAATTTCTTTTTCTTTCCCAATAAAGAATAACCTCCCATATCCCACTCCTAATTTTTTAAACTGGGCACAGCATTGATTTAGCAAAAAGTGTGACTGCCAGGTGTCAGGAATCACTGTGTATCACACAGAGCTGTCAGATCCAGAGGCTGTGCTGAGAGAGTGCATTGTCCACAGAATGAAGGAGATGAACTCCAAGGTGCAAAAATACTGATTTAGTTATTCACACCTGGATACACATCCATGCTTATCCATCTACTTATCAACCCCTCACATCCTCCCGAGACTTTAATAATCAGTACCTTCAGATTAATCAGTACCTATCAATTAACTACAACACAGTTATACAGCAGTTTGAAAAACTATGAGTATCTATGAACTTCCTTTCTGCTTTTGGACAAAACTATTTTTATTTGGAATAAGTAATTTTGCTGCAGGTCCCAGTGACCTTTTCTTAAAATATGTTGCCAGATCCCTAATGTGAACTTCATCTGAACACGTCCTCAGCTGGAACTCATGTAATACACCATGTAATGCAACATGTTGCATGTAATGCAACAAATTGCTGCCACATTTTGCATCTTTCTCTTCTTATTTATACACAGTTAATTTTTCATCCTCTTTAAAAGTATACACTCCTAAAAAACCATAGAGATGTAAATGCTCTGTACATGTGCCTGGCAAATATCAAGAAAAAGAAAATGGTTTAATTTAATTAAAAACTATTTAGTCATTTCCTCAACTGAGTTGCTTTGATGAAGAACTGAATTATTCCTTAGACACCTTCTAGAAACAGAAAGATGCTACCCTCCACAATGATACACTTGTAGTGTGAGAACAAACTCCCTTGATACATATACCTGTCATGGAAAATCCAATAAGCAGACAAAAGGAAGAACTACATTCTAAAATGCTTGTCCTCTCCTAGATTAATGACTCATTGTTACTGCCTGCAAATGATAGAAAAGCTAGCAGAATTCAGAGCCTAGGATTAATTTTTGCTGTTGGTAAAATCTGCAATTAAATAATTCACATTTTCAGTTTAGTTTGATCTTTGATTAATATTGATAGAAAAAGAACTTGAATCCACTTTTTCCTACTCCTTTCCTCAGCTGTACTTGACAGTTCATTTTCTAGCATGTCATTTGCTCTAGTTCCAATTTAGACTGTCACCTAAACAAAAACTACTGTTTATAGCCCACATCTCCAACTGCAGTCTGATTTCATTTTTTGTTTCCACTGAAGAGCCAAAAATTCATTATGCATGACCTGGAAAGAAGAAACACTAATAGAAAAATCGGGAACCAGACTGTGCTTTCTCAGAGCCATGACTGAAATTATCTGTGGTCAAACTGGTTTGGGTCTGCTTGTCTTAGGGAGAAAAGAGAGTGCATGCTTATCAAGCAGGCGAAACTCAAAAAGAGCTGGACATGTAATCTCCTTCATGTGAGTCCCAGCCTTGGTCATGAAAGACAGTCCATTCATTTAACAGTGGATCTCTTGAATTTGCATCACAGTGCCCAAGAAATGCCTTAGAGCAGTAAGACTGATAATTTTCAGAAACCTATTTTTCACCCTGCAAAGTGGGCATTTAGGGCTCTGTTATGGGATGACAACAGCTGTAAAAATGAGGCTCTTGCAGAGATCAGCTCATGCCATAATTTAAGTCTAGGCATAAAAACTCAGAGTCAGATTGTCCACAGTTTATTTAGTGCAGAAGTTAATCTGAAGTTAAACTGAGGCTGGAGATTTGTGCTGAAGAACAGGACCCTGGAACATGGGAATGGCATCTGGGAAAGGCTGGGAGGAGGAGGGTTGTTCTCTGGCCACACTCATGTTTTCCAGGATTGCATTTATTGCCTCTGCATGGAGTGGTCAGACAATATCAGCACTGCTGTGCTTGGCAGCAGCATCTGCAGCATCATAACAGGGCCATTCTTACAGCGTGCATGTTTCCACTGTGTTGGCTGCCTTCATCCAAACCAGACACTGTATCTCGTTGTGTCTGTTTAAAGACAGTGAAAGATGAGAAATGACTGCCCCAACAGGTAAACACTTCAGTGACAGAAAATAACCAAGCCCCAATCCAAACCCCAAGGGAACAGCTCTGGAAGTACTCTGATATGAAGATCTGAGTTATACATTTCCATCTGCACTCCTAATGACTTCATCACTGCAATGGCTAGACTTCACACACAGTTTTGAAGGAAGAAGCGAACTCATTCCTGTTTTGAATTCCTTTTCAAAATTAGATGAAGCAACTTGGTAGTTCATGGTTATCATGTCACTCTTGTAGGAAAAGTGATACTTATAAAAAGACCTGTTTCACACAGCATTTCTAGCAGACACTAACCTATTCTGACCCTTCATGATAAGGGGACTATTGATGGAGGATCCGTTTTTACAGACGCTGAAATGTTCTATGCTGTCAGTCACAGCAGTCCTGTCTGTCATAGCTGCCAAGATAGTACAGAAGCACTCCAAAAGAGCTTGCCTCTTGCTCTCTAAGGTCTTTATATTACCGAGGAATAAAATAAATGAGCATTCCTGTCCTGCCTCAACAGTGTTGTTTGCTGACTGCCTGCAAATTGACACAACAGATTCTGTATACATGATGGGAGAACAAAATGAGGGCATCAGGGACTCTTCCTCCAACTGTACAGAGATTAGAACTAAAAGTCTGTGTCTGATCCATTTCTGTTCTCTGACCCTGCTCTGCTTCTGTCCGTAGAGAACACATTATCAGCTGGTTGGATGATCACTGTAAGTCAAAATCCTGGCTTCAGCTCAGGGCCAGGCTGGCTCACACTGCCCTGAAAGACATGAAATACTGTAGCTGCTCTAACTAGGTAAGTCTCCCAAGATCTCCATGAATGATAGTAAAATTAGGATAAAATGAGGAACTATTACAAATATGATAGCTGATCTGTGCAATAATGATCTCTCTATCTCCAAGAGAGTGTGATAAGCACTAATTATGTGGATTAAAATGGATCTTTATAGCTACATTTTATTGCAGAATTAGAGGGCTAGATAAGACATCAAAGAGCAACTAAATCCACCTTCCTCTCTAGTTCCAAGGCATGTTCAAGCATACCTACCTGCTTCATGGTAGATATTTCCCTATCCATAACAGCTTTTTCAAATGACTGAAGACTGTAGAGTTTCCTTAGGACAGTTATGTAATTGTTCCCTTAAGAACTGAGCTTGAAACAATCACATATCTTGATGACAGAAGATCTAAGGAGTCCCACAGTCCAGAACTGACTTTTCTGAAAACATTTCCAAAATCCAGAGCCTCATTTATCCATGATGAGTTACTGAGCTGCTCATCTAGCAAACACAGAAGGAAAAACCCTCTCACTGCTCCAGTGCTCCTTATTACATCAAGATGTATTCATCTGACCTGTATTTTGATTGCAAAGCTGAGGATTGTAGAGCTATCAGAGGATATAGATGATGATGATGATGATAATAATAATAACAACCACCACCACCCCCACCCCCCAAGTAATCAGAATTCTCTTTTTTATTTTCAGTTACTGTTTTCATAAATGTACAGTCTTCACACAGAATCTCTTAGTAAGAAGAGGAAAGAGAATCTAGACTCCAGAATGTATGTAATGGGACTGAAAGTCAGCTGGACCATAAAAGATAGTCTCAAACTCCACTTTCATTGATCATGTTATGAGTCACGCCAACTCTTCAACGTGCAACTCAAATTAGATTTTTCTAATGAGTTTTTCCATAATAAATGATTTTGTGGGCCTTTCAAAGGCTACATGGGCACCAAAAATGTGCTTTCACAGAGGAATTTGCTTTATTGCAAAGTCCTGGGCTGCAGTTTGAGAATGACTCTGTCACATACATGCATGCAGTTTTACCAGAATTCATCAGAAGAATTGCATCAATGTGACCTGCTACACTACCATTCATGAGCGAATTCATTAAATATTAAAGAGACATGACAATATCATAACACAGATTAGATAAAATTGAAGTAGAAAATGCTAGAGGATGTGGCAAACAGGAGCTCTGATGCACTGGCAGATGTTCAGTTTGAGAAGGAAGTGTTTGTCTCCAGGTTTGTCTAAAAATAAATTAATTTGAACAAATACAATGCTGAAAATGTGAGATTTAACCTCTTACAAGTCTAAATCAAATACTTAGCTAATCTCTCCACCAGCTTTATGAGCTGCAGCTGATAGCGATAAATCCTTGTTTACCATTCTGTTAATCACCTCTGACATGTCTTATTTGAACCATGTTTCATTTGAGCAAATGTTTGCTGTTCCAGTTTCGAGTACTGATGTTAGATTAATGACTCACCTCAATAAAACATCAACCACTTGTAGGAGGAGCTGCCATTTCCAGTTCTGGCTGGTTGACTTGTAGGCTCAGTGATGTAAAATCACTATTCTGAAAATCCACCTATTTTGTGTTTTTCTACAGCACCCACTGCAACCTAACAGAAGGGCCAGATACTGTCCTATGGTCACTTAGGCCAAAATGACAAAATGGGTTAACAAAGCTATCCTTTTGGAAGATTTATGATTACCACAGCATAAAGAAGCACAATCTGCTGTACAGCCTGCTGTACCAGCTCTGTGGATGCCCAGGCAGTCCCAGTAGCACCATGTTGTGTTTGGGAAAAGGTTGCACCTGGAGGTCTTAATGCTCCTTGCAGCTACTGTTGGCAGACACAAAAACAGACCTGGGACTCCTCTCAATAATTCCAAGAGACAAAAAGATTTCTGCAGGTTCCAGATATCCAAAAGAATAAAACTAGCATTTAGTCCAGCTTGCCCAACCCAGTGAGAAGGACAAGTATTTTAATATGGAACATAAAAGCAGAAAGATGGAGGGACTTAGAGGAACACATTGCTTCCCTCTGGAGTATCTCTTTCAAGCCCAGTCTTTTGGCTCTGTTTTCTTTTACAGCTGAATACTAGAGGATTTACTTCATTTAAAGCTACTCATTTTCACTCCAGTCCTGCTCCCACAATCAAAGCCTCGTGTTTACTAGAATGTGGAAATTATTCTGCAGAATGCTGCAAATAGCCTCAGGTTGCACCATGATAAGCTAGACTATCAGACAAAACACAGACAAGCAGTTAGAAAAAAACTGATAATGCTGAAAGCAGCCTTCTATTCCTTTCATTTGTGAGTATGTGTTAGAGTGTCATCTTTTTTCCTAAGAGTGAAAGTTTGTCCTCAAAAATTTAGCTAAGAAAAAGAAAAGATAATATAAAATAAAATGCTGCTCCACTTACGTTCCAGTCTATAGTGACAAAGAAAGGGTGACGTTTAATTTCTTCTACTCCATCGAATCCAGCACCTGACAAGAGAATGAAAGACCAAAATGAAGTTATGCTTAGAAGAGTGCTGCATGACATCTCTTCTCCAGTCTTCCTCCCCATCCCCACTTTTCTTCTGACAGTCACCATCTAAACATTTCTTCTAGTCAAGAAACCTGAGTGGTGCAACTGCCACAACAGTATAAACTACCCTAAACATGAACAACGACACTTCATTAATGAAAATGTGATGGCTGAGGGTTTATCACTTTCCTTTAATCAAGGCTGCTGCCAAGGCTGAATAGCTCCTCTCTTCAGGCTTTGCATGAGATGTGGGATTTTAGCCACAGCAGAGCACCAGTGAGGACAGGAGAGGCCCCAGGATGCCTTGATACTCTGGCAAGGCTACTGCTGCTCCCTGCCACCAGCAGCAGCTATTGTAACCACACCAACCTTCAAAGCTTGTCTATTTACCTGTTCTCCACATGCAGAGAAAGCTGTGCTAGAAGTCCATACTCAAAATACCAAAAGGCTTCTTATGATTTGAGGTAAGCTGGGGTTTTAAGTTCCCCTTTTAAATATTCTTTTCAAATTATTGTGAGTACCAAAATCATCACTCTCAGTGTTATGTTTCTTCCACTATTAAATTTTTGTTACATTACCATAGGAAATTCAGGGAAAGTCTTCTGAGATCTGGTAATGAATCTAATTCCTTCATTACTTTTGCCCTATGTCTTTAATGAAGATAGCCTTTTTTGTTCTTTTAGCTCAGTTTATTTGCTTCAGTGCCATCACAAAACCCAATAGGTGCTCAGTAATAATTAAACAACTGTCAGAAATGATGTAGCATGCCATTTTAATAGCACCTTTCATTTTCAGTTCAAGGAGAATTAACATCTGGAAGCAAAAGCTTTGCACTGCAATTTTGGAATCAGTTCCTGAAAAGTACCCAGAATGTTTGTTTACAAGCATGCTGAGCATCTTTGATTCCCAAAAGGACTTGGGAATCATAAGCCCCTTGCAAGGGGCACTCCGGCACTCAGCACCTTCCAAGGGCATCTCAGAGGACTCAGCTTTTTATATGCAGCATTTGTACTCTCAGAAGGTCAACATTACAAGCAGCTTTACAAAGGTCTTGTCAACTTAAGCTTCTGTAAAACGTGATGGCTGCTCTCCCTGTGTACAAGACATTATTGATGTTTGCCAAAATGCACTGATCAGGAACAGCTTCCTACAGTCTGCTTAACATTCACTGATGAATGGATACGAAAAGCAAACACTTTGTAAACATAACATGCAGGATTGTCTGTCAGGCCTGCTGGATAATAACGCAGGAGGGATGATTTTCTGATTACTTCCCTATCCTGATAATCTTTCAGTATAGACAAATGGAAGTGACACACATGAGGATAAACAATCCTAGCCTGCCACACAAAAATATGTGCTCGGAGGTGATCAGCCCCACTGAGGAGTGATGTCTGTGGGTTATGACAGACAGTTCTAGGCAAACACAACATGAAATCAAATCTTAGAAAGAGAAAAGAGGACAAAATGGAGAACATCATTGCATTGCCACTGTATAAATCAGCGGCATACCTACAACTGGACTATGGAATGTGGTTGGCACACTCACCTATAAAAGGTATATTTATTAAAGGTTGGAAAAATCAAGGAAGGGCAACAAGGAATGGTATGGAATGACTGAGTATGTCAGGACTTTTCAATCTGGAAACAGGTGGCTGAGGAGGTTTACAATAGATCATTAAATGACATTAGTGGGAATCGGGTTTAGAAGAACCTGGAGATGTTTCCTCAGGAAACAAGATGTATCACAGGTGTGATATGGAATTACCTAGAAAAGATGATGTGGTTCAAAATATTTATATCGGTTCATGGGGAGGCCAGAAAAGTTTGTTGAAAAGAAATCTGCTGAAGATTACTTCATTGACAAACCACAGGAAACCCCTTGCATGACCTTAAAGCAGGTATAGGGTGGGAGAAAATTTGGGTGAAGTAACACGTTTGCCCTATTCTTACTTGTCCCTAGGCAGCTGTTTATGGCCCGTGGGTACTGAACAAGAAGATACTAAGTCTCAGAATAAGACTTGTTCTATGACTTCCCTTGCATACTTTTTTCAAATCACAGTCTGAAGTCTGCACTAGATTCCCTTGGCAGATTCATTCTGATTTTAGCAATGCCAACAGAAACATGAAACCAACACAGTTACTCTGAAGAGAATTACATTAAGCAACTCTTCAGAGAAGAAATATCTGTGAAAAACGTTTTGTGTTCAGTGGCTGTGACTGGAAACTTTGCAATGTGCAGTAGATGTTCTTTACTACATAAGGCTGAAATCCAAGTGCCAGACTGAGTTTGAAGGACTGGGGTAAATGCTCAAACACTGTAAGACACTGATAGCATTCCCTAGACTGAGGATAACAGCTAATGCATTCAATCTTCTCTTCTCTGCCCATTTTCCCTGTTTTACTTTTCCCTCTTTCTTAGGCTGATAGATACGTCATTGTGTGTGCGAATGACACATTTTGCTTCGGGCAATCTATTTGAAAGTCACACTTTTTGTTATTGTTGTTGTTTCTTTTTCCACAACACCACAGAAATCAGGATCAAGAAAAAGCCACCCATTCTCTTAGTGGTGGGCTGCAGTGTGCAGTAAGGGATGCAGCATGCAGTTGAGGCAGACATTTGTTTGTAAAAATTGCCTTTCCCACTTAGGGCCACCTTGGAGCTCTGGCACACAAGGAATACATTGTTAAACACAAGGGCTTGTCTCCATCTCTGTTTAGCTTAATATATTAAAGAGATTTAGGATGGTAATAGACTAATTTTCCAAATAGTGAGGGACTTCCAATTCCTAGCAACTGATTTTATACTATGGAGAAGGTTCAGCACTTCCTGCAGTTTCTATTTCCTGACTTTCCCTGTCATGAGACCTGCTGGCATAGCCCATGACTCCTTCTTGGGTTGTGTGCTGTGGCTTCAGGCAGCAGCATAACATTCAGGGAAGAGCTCTGGGAGCCTGAAGGGGCAATCCTGACCCCTCTGCAAAACTCTATGGGAGATGTTAGGCACTGATGCTTATGGTGAAGTCTCTCTGGATTTGCTCAGCATTTTTCAGCCATACATCTACCATCTGCAAATCTAAAGTGGTACTGGAAAGAGATGTGTTTCCATGGAGAAATGAGAAGCACTGTAGATGTCATGACTGGAAAGTCCTGTTTCATGGAGATGAACATTTCTTGGCATAGAGATGGGTATTTAGCAAACATCTGAAGCACAGCACACAATGGCACACTGCACGACTGCAAACCTTTCACCTTCCTCTAGGTTTCTAGTGGGGTTTTTTTAAACTTCAATTTAGTAATAAAACCTACCAGAAAAGAATAATCAGTACAATAAAGCCTGCAAATATTCTTATGTGCCATCCAGTCCCATGAGGGTCCAGGAAGACAAATAATTCTTTCAGATCAAATTGCCAGTTTAAACACATTATAGAGTGCAAGGTTTTATATAAAAGCAGTCTCATGTTAATAAGCAAGAACTCAATTATCTAAGATTGCTTTATGCCTGTAATAAAAGTGTCTGTAGGCAGTAAGAGTAGAATGTTTTATTTGCAATTGGTTTTGATTGTCGAATCATTATGGACAATGTGACCCTTGAAATATATTATGGGGAAAAGGGAGACCTATGAAAGTTGATTATTTGGATATTCAAAATCATCAGAAAGATTTTCTAGATTTTTAGTTACAGATAATAAAATTTTAGTGTCTTCACAGCTTCACTATCTTTTTAGTGGGCTAGATTTTTTGATAAATGTTTGTAAGGTTAATAAGAAAGCTGTACAGTCACTCTGACAAAGGTGAAAGCTGGTGTGTGTTTTTTAAAAACTCATAAAGTTTTTTTGGGTTTTAACCCAAACTTTTCTATGTGCCAAAGTAGAATGTATCTTCTATGAGAACATGGGATTAAGAAAATAATAACTATTTCTTTCACTTTTGCTCTGAATCTACTGGTACATGTTTTTTTCCTAAACATTTTTGGCCAAGCTTCTCAATTATAAGGACTCTGGTACCTTTACAGCACTCAGCATCTTAGGGAGTTCATTAAATGCTTTTTACATTTATTTGCCTGCCTGAGCAGGCCTTAAGGCAAGTCCCTTGCCCAAGTTCCTGGGAATGTAACTAACATTCAACATGCAGTTTCATTTCTGAGATACTTACTCCTTGTTTTCATGGCTATTCCACTTAGTTTATTTTAAGAACTTAAAATTATTCTTGTCCATAGTCTGAAATTTGTTGCACTTACTCAGAACAATACTAGCATAGCAGTGCTATGCAGATCATTTGCATGGCAAAGTGTACAGGCTCAAAAAGAACAATGTCCAAAACAAGGGGTGCCACAGTAAGACTTTCCATTCCTTAATATTTGTTGTAAGCATTAATATGGGCACCAGACAACAGAACTAGGTAACCTGGATTACTAAATTCTTTCTCTGTCTTGTCTATCTTGCTTCAACTGTAATATTTCTTCCATTAATAATCCAAAACTTCAAAGCAAAATTTCAGAATACATCATCAATCTTTACTTCTCTTTGTTAAGACACCAAAATTAAATGGCAAAGAGCAAGATGGCAGTAAGGATAAAACTATTTTTGAAACTTAGCATCTTTCAAGTTGTCAATGTTAAAAATTGGATTTTGAAACTAAATACACTTTCCACATTTGGAAATTTCTGAAACAATGGCTGAACACAAGTTTAGCATGCTTCATTAATTTTACAAAGATTTTTCAAAACAGGATGTCTAAGCCTACATTTCTTTTAACTTCGTTTTTTTATTCCTTTCCCAGAAAAAGCTAAAATACACGAAGCTGAAGTAGTCCTTTTATCTACTGAATTCTGTTCAGTATTTAGGCCAACAATTTAAGCTTTCCTTCTATTGTTTCCAACAGATCTGTTTCCATCGTCCTTTGTGCTGATTCTCAATCAGTTGTAACAGTGTGTGCCTTCAGGAGCTTTCCACCACTATCCCTGAAATGTTAAGATCTATTTTTCTGTTACTCCTTTAGATTTTATTTCCTTGGATGTTTGTGTTATAAATAATCTCTTTCTTTCTCCAAGCCTTCCCAGTATTTCAATATACCTCAGGTTTTAAAATCTTGACCCTTAGCAATTCCCCATTGTTAACAGGGAGACAATATGGGGACTAGAATTGTTACGGCTAAAACTAAGGAACTTTGCTTATTTTACTTAGTAGCTTTTTATTTAAGGACTGGTATCCAGAAACTCTCACTCCCTTCACTGGAGCCCCATTTTGGATGGATAGCAACTTGTGGGAAGCCACAAAATGAGCAGAGCAGAACAAAACCAAGAGACAGAGTGGAAAGAGCAGAAAGGAAAAGAGATAGACAGTGGGAAGTTTATATTGCGGCAACACCTTATTTTTCTGAACAGAGATTAAACCTAGAAGTTCGACTAATCTATTTTTTCCTAACGTCAAACAAATTGCTTGAGAGCAATTGAAACCTGCTCAGAAAATGTGTTTTTCCACTCTCGTGTCTACAGTGTATCAGTCTACAAGAGCTACCATTTAGGTCAAGAGGTAAATCCTATGGGAGGACATTCCCTCTGTGGGCCATGTGGCAGCCCCCAGGAGAAGAGGGGCCACAGTGGCATGCTGAAGGACTGGCTCCCCATTGCCACCCAGCACTGCACTTTCTTAGGTTGTTCCCTCATCCCTGTGTAGAGCAAGGATGAAATTTGCAATGAAAGTCACACAACAGGCATTGTGCATGACCTCATCCAATGCAATTAATTTCTAAATAAAACTCTTAAGCAAGGGTACAGATGACATAAGACACATGATCCAATACACACTTCTAGTTTATCACAATTTTAATAGGATTATTAACAAAGGGTGAAGACACATTAACAAAAAAGAGATAATATATTCAGAGTAGTAAAAAAAAAAAAGCCTACTGTGAGAATGCTCCCAGCTAACACAATGAGACAGGATTGAAATATATCTGATAATAGGAGAGGCAAAACCTCAGATTTGCAGCTAAATGAGAGAGATTTTAAAAGACACTTGTTTCTCAGTTCCCTATATTATCATATGCAGCAGTTACCTTAAATCCTTCATAAAAGCCGGTGATCTACTCTCTCTCTTTACTAAAAAAACCCATCACCACAAGTTAATATCATGTTTTACGTGACAATACTTTGCCTGTGCTCTCTTCAAATTTCTCTAATGCTGCTCAAGGTTCACTGTGCTCTGGGAAGGAATGCAAAATGCCACATAATGAAGAGGGTAACTATCAGGGAAGATGTGCTGAGAGAAACAATCACCACATGACAACGCAGAGCGCACACAAATGTCCTGATCAAATGCATGCACATACCTAATCTGTTGGAGGGGTTCCTTTTGAAGAGGGCTCGCAGCAGGCTCTGGGCTTCTATGCTCAAGAACTGCGGCATTCCCAGCTTGGCTCTGAAAGAACACAACACTTGAAAAGAAAATAGATTTTTCAAGATTTTTTCCGTCCCACTGTGGCTGAAAAAGTGGAATTGTAGTAGTCAGGATGGGGAGACACATGAAATTGGTGACCAAAGGCTACCTAAGAAAATGCAATACAGAGTGAGGACCTGATCTTTTTCTGCCAAAGTTAAGGAAGGTTTTTACCACTGGTTTTATTAGAGGTAAAGCAGATCTAATGAATCTTGTAACAACTTTTGCAACCTAAATAGGTTACTTTCCTACAGATTTTTTTCACTTTTTTAGCTCGCTGTAATAAATTCGGTAATCAAGAGGAATTGAAACAACCAAGTAAACTTCATGAAAGCAATTATACTAAACCACATACTGTTTAAAGAGAACAAAACTTTTCTCTTGGGCATTCACTGCTACAGAAAAAAAAAGTAATACTGAGCTTCAAACAAGCTTTGAATACATATGCCTGCACTTAACATTAAATGAATGGGAAATTTGCAAAGGAAAAGATTTGAAACTTGGCAACAACAAAACATAAAATTGTGCAAAAATCTGACTGTTCCCCCAGTTTGTGGATATTAACATTATTACAGAAAGTAAGAAAAATTTCTTTTGTAAGGCCCACTCAGTAATTTACATCCTACTATTTATTCAGAAGGCAATTTTAAGTCACACACAGGCATTAGCTATGCAGGCCTTACCAAATTCGTGCCTTGGATAGCTTCAAAAAGTGCATTATGCACATTATTATTCTGTACCCTTCATATACTTGGGACCTACAGAGTCTATAGAGAGTAGAGTTAATTCACAGTTAGAAGAACAAAAGCAGTTTCGATACTCACTTGAGAATGAGTGCCATTGTCTCCTTTCTGTCTTTTCCCTGGAAGGGTAATGAGCCCGTCAACATCTCAAACTGTGGAGTAAGAACAAAATAGTAAATCAAATGGGCATTGACATGGCCTGCATAGCTGGTAGATAACACATCCACCTTCTGTTTCCAACACAACTGAAAACTGGAGGTGAAGAAATGGTCCAACAAGTTGTGCCTCAGGAAAAAAATGGCACAGCAAGTCTGGATTATGCAGAACAAGAAGGACCAACATGACTGGTTCATTCAAGTGTTTTGTTACAACTGTTTACAGTGATACTTGTGATCAAGTTTTGGTATATTTGGGAAGAAGTGTCATATATGCTGTTTCCTCCAGCTTCTGTTTTATGCCCAATGCTGGAAACGAGATATTTGGCTGGAAGGACTCTTAGCCTGCATGGGTATGGCTGTTCTTAGGTGTCTGACATGGAGAAGTGATTGAGACCAGCCCTGTAGAGAAGGACTTGGGGGTGATGAAAAACTCAACATGAACTGCTAGTGTGTGTTAGCAGCCCATAAACCCAACCAAATCCTGGGCTGCATCAAAAGGAGTGTGGCCAGCAGGTCAAAAGAGGCAATTCTCCCCTTCTACTCTGCTCTCATGAGACCCCACCTGGAGTACCACATAGAGTTCTGGTGTCCCCAACATAAGAAGGACATGGAACTGTTGGAGCAAGTCCAGAGGAGGCCACAAAGTTGATAAAAGGACTGGAGCACCTCCTCTACAAAGACAGGCTGAGGAAGTTGGGGCTGTTCAGCATGGAGAAGAGAAGGTTGCATGGTGACCTCATAGCAACCTTTCAGTATCGAAGGGGCTACAGGGGAGCTGGAGAGGGACTCTTTATCAGGAACAGTAGTGATAAGACAAGAGGAAATTTAGGTTAGATGATAGGATGAAATTTTTTTCTGTGAGGGTGGTGAGCCACTGGAACAGGTTGCCCAGGGAGGTAGTGGATGCCCCAACCCTGGCAGTGTTCAAAGCCACGTCAGGTAAGGCCTTGAGCAACCTGCTCTAGTGGGGAGGTGTCTCTGCCCATGGAAGGGGGTTGGGACTAGACGATCTTCAAGATCCATTCCAAGCCCTTAATATTTTATGATTATCATGCAAAGAAAATGGGTTCAACATGCCACTTCCCATCTTTTTAGGTTGAGTTGAATCACCTTTTTCATTATATATTTGCACTGCTTAGAGATGCCTCTGCTATATTTTGCAAGAGAAACAAGCAAAACCCCCATATTCTCAAGGCATATGAGTGTGCTTTTTCTCTCCTGCTTTGGTTCCCCTGGCTGTATTCAGTGATGAATTTTTCAAGTGTCACATTTAGATGAATCCAAATCTCAAAGCAAAACTCAGCAATCATCATCAATTATTTGTCTAACTCATGCATGAAAACATCAATCAGTTATGCTTCCTTTGCAATAGATTAGTGTTTTCAGTAAATTTGACAGGAATTTCACATCTGTTACAAAAAAAAAAACCCAAAAAACCCCCAAACCAAACAAAAAAATCCAGCCAAAGAAGCTTGGCTAATGTGGATTCAATACTGGATCTTTCACACAGCTCCTGCCACCATGTTTCATGAGGGTACAAGTGGCAGCTGGTTTCTCTGTCTAAGGGATGCTGAAGGCTGTATACCACCAAACACAAAGACACCAAGAACATAATTCAGCCTGGGCACAGAGGAGGAGAGTGTTCATTGAGATAAGGAGAACTGTTACATGGTTATGTCTGTGACTCAGGCTTTGGATCTCTTCTACTATAATAAGCATCTAGTAATTAATATTCACTGCTATAATTAAATACCTGTTACAGCAGGACAGACTCTACAAGCCTTATGTAGTTTTTGTACCTTATCCCACAAGAAGCTCCATTGCTCCCAGGAACCATGTTTCTGTAAAAGGATCCTTTCATTACCTAAACCTGTGTCAGACTTCCCCACAGTCTGACTCTTCCCTTTGCCCAGATTAAATAGATCTATACCATAAGAAAAATGTCAAAAACATAAGAAAACTGTAATGGTGAAACTGCTATGCTAGTTTTGCGAGGAGGGCAGAGAAGAGGTTTCGGAGCCAGATAACTAACAATGGAATTGAAGGATTAATCTGCATTAGTAAAAAATTACCTCAAGGCAATAAAATCCATAGTAGAAACAGGAAAAAAACACTTTTAAAAGGTGTGTATGACTGACAAATATAAACAAGATTTGGAAGAAACAAATGTGTTAACTTGTGCTTGGGTTAGAAGAGGCTAGAGAAGAGCTGCCTGGCAGAGCTGGAGGAAAGCAGATGGTCTTTGAGAAAGAAACGTAATGGGGGAGAATTTTTTCAACTTCCTTAATGACCCTGGAGCTTAATACAGTTTTCAAAGTAATTTTGACCTATTAGAACCTTAGTCCTGATAGGATGAGGGGCAGAGAGCATTGTTTCTGCTACCATTTCCCAGCAGAAATGGTACGTATTGTACCAAACTCTCCTCACAATTTCTAAAGAGTCAATGTTCAGGATAAGTACCTAATGTTCACTTACACTTGCTCATGTCGCTTTGTTGTTATAATAAACCTAATTTAACAGTACTAACAATAACTGCTACATCTCATTTATATTGGCAGAATGGGCTTGACACTGCTGATGTTATCAATGACTGCTACATCTCATTTATATTGGCAGAATGGGCTTGACACTGCTGATGTTATAGGTATAAGCAACTACTTGGTCAGCGACTACATGGGAAGAAGATGACTGTATTTTCCACCTACCACAGTATCACAGAAATATCTGCAAATGCACCAAGGCTGCAAGGGACCCAGAAACCTGAAGGCAGGAAATTTAGATGCAGTTTGCAAGAGGGAGGGAGAGAGGAAGGAAGAGAGGAAGGAAGAGAGGAAGGGAGGAAGGGAGGAAGGAATTTAAGTTGCAGAAGGGAGCAGGGGAAATGACCATCCTGGAGGCTGCAGAGAATATTTACTGCGCTGCTGTAATGGGTAGCACTATGTTACCACATGTCTCAAATTACGCAGGTCTAATGTTGAGATAATTCAGGTTCAGAAGAAATGCACTTAACATGAATATTTAAAGTGAAGCATAGCTACATGAGTTAAGTGTACCAGACCTTTTTACTTCAATGAACTTAACTAAGCAGCACCTGGAAGAAAGCATTGGTTTCTCAATTGCAGTTCTGACTAAATCTGTTAAAGCTTAAAAAATGAAATAACAAGACTGAAAAAAATAAAATTAAAATAGGCCATCTCATCGGTTAAAGCTACTGCTTTACTGTACAGCAACCTGCCTTCCTACTTATTTTTTTTGAAAAATCAAACATCTTGCTAAACCTGAACATGAAAACAGAAGTGAGCACGTGCTGCTTACATTCTTGCACATAAATACAGAGCTGTATGGATCACAGCAGGCTGACAAGAAGCTGAGTCTAGATGTGAAGAAACTGCAGTATTTTTAGCTATTAAAGCAGTCCCTATAGTTTTGCCGAGAGACTCAGTTTTCACTGTCCCCACTTCCCTATCTCTATAAACCATATGTTTGCTCCTTCCCTCCCACTGATTCACTTCCTGGGTATTCCGGAGGGCCATCTTCTGTTAGCCAGTGTTTGAGAAGGCTGTGACTCCCTCCAACCTTGACTTCTTTTCTGTACCAATATTCAGCAAGAAAGGCAAATATTCTTTGTTCCAGTTCAGCTGCCTATTAAGGGAACCAACAGAATTAAAGTTTGATGGGAAGGGGCCTCTGGAGTCACATAGCCCAGCCCCTGCTGAGGTCTCGATATACTCTGCAGTGCTTCCTTTCTCTAGCGTTCGGGGTAGTCTCTAGTTTCAGCAGGCAAAACACCAGCAAGATATACATCTGAGAAGATCTTGGGAAAAAGTGCCACATTTCCTGAGGAAATGGGTTCAAGAAGTGGCCCTGGTAGGTCAGTGTGGAAGATAATGAATGAGAAAAAATCCACACTCTGGGGTAACTGCCATGTGAATCTTCCTAACAGATGGAAAAAGAGAAGATTGTGCCAATTACTTTGGCCCAAGCCTGCTGAAGTATTGTGAGCCTAGGATAAAATTCAGGGTTCAAGGAAACTTGATACCATGCAATTTTGGATAGCAGAGAGAGACACTCTTTTCAGAATGGCCGGGTTGTCCTCTCAACACTTCCAGTCATTTTCCAGGTATCTGAGAGCTGCTCAAGCACACAGTTTTATAATGCATTAAGTATTTTTCCTTCTTAGCTGGGTGTGAAGCATAATAAATTACTGTTTGAAAAGGGTTTGAATTCCTCCATGTAGCAGCAAGCATGAACATTCAAAATAATGTCCATGAAGACCATCTCTTTCACTGGGAATAAAAGAAGTGTTATGATGGGATTTTGTAATAGAAGATTGTAATGCTTTGATTTCTTGTATTGATTTTTCCAATGCCACTATACAGTTACTACAAAATTACTACAGAGCTGAATACTTTGGATACCAAAAGGAAATCTTCTTTTCTTGTGAAGACTTCACTACTCACACATTCACTACATTGCTGACATGTAAAACACATTTCTTTTCATTTGGGTCTGCCTACTAAGTCATTACAACTATTTCTCTAATTATAACCCCCTTTCCGCTCACATGACTCTCAAAGGTGTACAGTGGTTTTTTCCTGAACTGAAAGATATACAACTTCCATGAGGTCTGTGGCCTTGTAATTTGGCTGGTATGATGAACTATAAAACCACTGCTTTGAGAGGCCTTCCAAGAGACTTGTGCATGTTGTATCATGCAGACCAGTTTATCTGGGCTTCACAGATGGCAGTGTGGGCATCAAGGCTCTTGCAGTGCAGCTGAAAAGGTATTAGTTACATATCCAACTTAATTTTAGTCAAACGCTTGTTCATGCAGGTATCTTGATGCAAAGCTTTTGCAGAGTATGTCCTATCCAAAATTTCCAATGCAGTAAGATACAGGAAGGCAGAAAATGAGAACTGTCTGGTCATGATAAACCACAGCTCCAAATTATAGTTGGGTCCCAGCAGCCATCACCCCATATTTATTGAGAGATAGGTACTGTCTATGCTGGAAAGGGAGAATTTCAAGCTCTGTATAACTATACCCATTGACATACACTTAGCTACCATAAAACAATTCAAGCAAACTAAGCAGCAAACAAACCGAGCAGGTAACAGTTTTGTTCTGTGGCCTGTGTCAAAGACTTAGCTGGTGGTAAATGAAGTCTTGCTATTGTTGATAGTAAAACTCCCAGCGAACAACAATAATGAAATAATTAATAATTAATAAGTGAAGACCAGAATTTAGCAATTTTCAGACAAGTTTGTTTTGGTATTAATATCACAACACGTCACATTTAAGGCTGTCTTCAAGCTCATTTGGTTTGATTCTAGCTTGTGTCCTGGTCAATGCAGGTTGGCAAGGAGCTGCTAGCACAACCCAGCTCTTCCTACTGAAGCACAGAATCCCTCTTCACGTACAGAACAGATGAGTGTTTGGTTGCTCTTCTGATGATGAGATTACAGGCCATTTCATAACTATCTGCCTAATATGTTCCCTCATTTGATAAAAAATTTACATAAGAAAGTTACACTATCACATAAACTTCCTTTCAATGTATCCACACTCCACCAACTGGTATATTTTCTTTGCCTATTTTACATCATACTGCAAATTACTTAGATAGAAATGCTAATAAATCATTTGAATACTTTTTAATTCTCTTCAGTTTTTCACTGGTAGAAAACCAGCTTCCCTAAGAGATCATACAAGTGACAGACCAAGGAAAACAAGAAGAAAAGAGCAGAGACAAAGACAGGATCAGAAAATCCTCCCACACTTTCAGTGTATAGAAATACCCTTTTTCTGTCCCAACAAGCTAACTGTTGAAAAGGAATAAAGTTTCAACTACTTAGACATATTTTTCTCTAAGATGTCTGGCAACACTCAAAGGCTGAAAGCATTAGCTTACAGCTAAAATTTTTTACTTTCTTTAACTCATCTCTTTTTATACAGATTCTTACCTTTTCTAATTCTAACATGCTGAATCCCTAGGGGAGGGGTGAAAAGAGTAATGGAAGGAAAAAGAATAAAAGAAAGCCTAGCAAAAAATAGGGAGGAAGTAGCCCAGTTTATTAGCTAGAGAGAGAAAAACAATCTATACACCAAATGCATCATTGTTTAACTGGAGACAGATAGTGAGAAGACACAGCTATTCTCCAAAACTAAATATATAATTTAAAAAAATTAAAAGGGGGAGGAGGGATGTATTTATTCTATGAGGCATAACCTATTGATTTTCCTGAATAAACACATATGGTTCAGAAGTGCTGAGCAGCCACAAATGGATTTGTGGTCACAGGAGATAAGGATGTTCCACTCCTTTTATAATTCAGGCAATAAATTACAGTATTTACTTAGATTAACTGCTGTCAACCTGCTAGACCACTGATGTAGGCCTTCCCTGACCCAAATTTTCACTGGTTTTCACATACTTACTTCCTCTGGTGGCACCAGCTGTCTGCCTAGAGTAAACAAAATTTAAACATACTCTGGATTGTGGTATATACTATAATAGATAGCTACCTAAAATAGCTTCCATAGCACAGGAAATGGTGCTGTATTAGAAGAGCACATTGCTATGTTAATTTATGCTTCTGCCCTGGTTCTGCAAGGAAGCTGTGATAGCCACAGCGAGGTGCACTGTGAGGCACAGCTGCAGGGCTGTGCTGTGCTGTCTGGTGGTCATGCATTGAGCATCTGGGTAGGCCTGCAGCCTACACACTTCAGGGAAGAGCACCACCACCTTCGTTATCTGAGCATACCCCTGTGAGAGTAATAAATGCATGGTGTCTGGGCTAAAGGACAGCATCTTCCTTGCTAAATCAGTGCTGGGAACAACTGCTTCCTCCTTCTCAGCAACAATAGCACCGGGGACTGAGAGGCTGGATGGGTGCAGGAAGGGAGCAGGTTAGCACCTGAACACCTCATTTTAGAAGTCTTGCTTGAGAAGAATACAATACCTCTCTGACAGAGTTTCCTGACACTGCATCCCAGTGTCAAACACTGCAGCACACAGGAGGATGTTATCGGGTACTTCTCATAAATCAAGGAGCTCCACTGGAATCTATATATCTCACAGAGCTCTCTTTGGAAAGTGTTTTCTAGGGCCTCACTTCTTCAGCAGTTGATAGCTTTCTTCTACTTTCCAGGCTAATTACATTTCACGATGAGTTTATTCCAACCTGCTCTTGGGAAAACATTACTCTTTAGCTGAAATAGCTCCTTTCTTTCTGTGATGTTCTTCCCTGTGAGGTATTCATCGATGGTATAGATACTATACCAACTTTGAACCATTATTGGACTAAGAAGATCTTCAATTAATGGATTTTCCCTGCAACACTGTATCAAATACATTATAATGGAAAAGAGTGAAAGAAAAGATTGCTACCTCATCAAGTTAATATTAATCTATCATGACTGATTTTTGCTAAATTCATGTTGTATTCTAACTTTTCATTGATCTGCATGTATAAAAAATAAATTAGCACAGTTTCTGATATTGATTTAATTGAAACTACCCTCAGAATAGCTTGCAAGACTCTGAAAGGTTAAGCAACAAAGGGGGAAAACTGCAACTTCTGTATAGTTAATCTAATGCAAAGAGGTGTAAGAAAAAGGTGAATTCCTAGCTATTACTCTGTATCAATTGATACACCTGTGTCTGTTTCTGGTGAGCTTCCCTCTGTGAAGAGTAGTAATTTTAAAACTGGTTTGTATATATATGTTTTAAACCAGCTTCAGTATGTATTCAGAACAAAACATCCCAAACTAGTCAATCAAGACACTGCAAAATGGTACAGAAGAAGGGAGGATGACATGGCACCCCTGTGCATTTGTTTTCTTTTCCCACCAGGAGAAAAGAAGGGGTTTTGAGTGGCAGTCTCCCACCAGCTAATAAGACTGCAGGAGATCCACAGCCAGTCCAAAAACAATTAACAGAACAAGAGTCAGCCATGCTGATGTGAAGATGACAGATGAATGGCAAAAGAACCATTGAGGTCCTGTGAAACATTCAGAGAGCCCTCTAAAATATGCCCTTTTTAATCTATACTTTGCATGGTAAAAAAAAGTAGTAAATTTCTGAGTGTCTCTAGGAGGATGTCCCTAACATCTAAAAACTGCTGCTTGGGGAACTTTTTCCTAACATGAACCATGTTAGTAACTAGGCAGATGTTTCTTCTGAAATGATCCCACTTCTCTGAGTTTGCCCTGCCCCGTTTCTGTGCCGGAGAAATATTCATGACTCATGGTAACCAACTGAGACAGCAGAGGACTGTAAGAAAAAAGTGAGGGAATCTAGGGGCCAAATGCTACCTTATATACTGCCAGGAGCAGCTGCTTTGCTATAGCTGATACAATAAAAATGATAAAGCAATCATTATGTATCTACTTTTCTATCAGCCCTTAACTGCTGAAAGCAGTACTTTTTATCTGAGGGTCTGATCTCTCCTACAGCCACCCCTTCAACAAACACACACAACTTCCATTACCATGAGGACGCCGAAAGACCACCAGTCGGCACTCTGCGTGTGTCCTCGTCGGTTGACCACCTCAGGGGCCATATACTCTATTGTCCCACAGAATGAATATGCTCTCTTATCATGGTCCACAGCTTCTTTACTCAGACCAAAATCTAAAGAAATTGAAACAAAAAAAGACTCGTCAAGTCTATAAAACTGATTATTTACACTTTTGCTCACTTAATCTATTTGAACAAAACATGACAACCAGGTGATGAAGAAACCTTCTGTCTGCTGCAGAAAGGCCAGAGGCACATGCATGCTGATGTTCTGCCTACACAGAGTGCCTGCTTGGCAGTTGTTAATAGGCTCTCAAAGTAGGTGTATCACTTTCTCTGTTCAGAATAAGGTTCTGGCCCAAAGCAGAAGAGAGAGTCTAAATAAGCAGAAATACACAGTTCAGGTTTGGTGAAGGCAATGCTGGTAAGGATTCTTGTTCACATAACCAAAGCATTAGGAACAATAATCCCGATGACACCAGTGAAAAGGATGGCTAGTCAGCAGAGTGGCAGAGGCAGGTCTTTCCAGGTGTCCTCTGCACAGCTATACTTCAATTTAATCTGGAGTAAGCAGTCATATTGGAAGCATCCTTCCATCCACAGAGGTAAGCAACCAAGCCTGCATGCTTTGTAACAGTCAAGAGTACAATTTAGCATGAAAACAATATGCTCTCCATGTGCTGTGCAGCATAGGGGTTTGACAAATGTCAGAGAAACTCAACACTTAAACTCTTCTGGCTTCTAGTTTTTGCAAGCAAACTTTTTCCAACTGAAGACCACGAGGCATGGAACATGTTACAGGAAAAAATAATCAGATTGTAGACATTAAGTTTGCAGTTCCATACATACCTGTTATCTTAATGTGTCCCTCTTCATCAAGAAGAATGCTGTAAAGCAAAAATAGGAACATTCATCCATTAGGCAGGCACAGACTGCAGTTAACAAGCATGAATAAAACATGTTTAAGACAGGTAAGGAGATATGCAACACTCAAAGACTCAAATACATATATAAACAAACCCTTAGTGGATTCTATGGCTCCAAAAAAAAAATGAGCCTCAGAGATCTGCTTAATCTCATGTCTGAAGCACACACAGCCTGGGGCAGTTGCATGAAGAGCCTCTTCCTTACTCCAAAGGATGCTGAAGGTGGGCATGCAAACAGAGCTCAAAAAGAACAGGGTGTTCAAAGACAGCAATTGCAGACTATATGCTTCCAGCAGGAGAAGGAGCTACAGGTTTTCCACTCTTGTCACGATAAAAGGCAATCAGACAAATAATGAGGGCTTGGACTCACTGGTACTAAAATTAACTCCAGAAGTTCATGCTGAAGTAATGAGAGCGATTGTAGAGCACAATGACTCGTCACAGCCTAACTGCATGGATTTCAGCCTCTGCTAATTTATTCTGGCTAGAAACACAAATGAAAATTCAGCCTGGAAGCCAAGTTCAAGTGTTCTTATGTTTGCCACCTGCCAACATATTTTATACTCACAAAGGCACTCCAACATTTCTGTGAGAAAAAAATGACTGTAGTTCACCAAAAGCAGTGCTAGCTTTTGTGGAAACAAGAAGGAACACTGAATCTGAAAAATAATGATTTTTGGTAAATAAATACTGACAGTAATGAGGGTGGTGTTTCTTCAGTTCTAGTTAGACTTAAAATAATTCTCTTTTCAAAATGGTCTAGCAAGTTGTCAGCTATTTTTATATTCCTCTTCTCTTAGAGAATCACTTTAATCCAATTATTCAGCAAGAAAACAAGACAGAAGTGAACCAAATATAATGGCCTATTATTTTGTGAAAGGTTGTGTCTGTACTGAAGCATAATTGAAAAAAGATGATCTTCTGTCATTCATTTATTTGTTCAGAACAAACTGTTGCTGTGTCATTCAACAAACAAAGGCCAGCAGCTGAATCACTACATGTTCAATAATTAAAGCTTTTTCTTCTTGATATAACCTTCTCTACCTTTCTCCCCAGTTTTCTTGAAGAGGCATAATGTGTAAGTCCTAGCCTGTAACAGGCATGTTTAAATGTATTTTTGTGACTGCAACCTCTAAACTTGTGCTTCAGAAGAGAACAAAATAAAAAACCTGCCTGTGTAGAAGTGAGTGTGATTGTATGAACTCTTCAGACCTGGATCTGGAAATACAGCAAGGGCAAGTACAGCTCTCAGAAATCACCCAAAATTTTGCCCCACGCTCAAAAAGCCCCTGTGAATAGCAATGCAATTCCAAGGTTGTGGGAATTTCCCCAGAAACATCAATTTTATATTTCACAGATTTCATAATTCCCTATTGAAAATCCATGCTGCTTTGTTATGTATACAATATATTTTTCCTATACCTATATGTGATTAGAGGGTTCATACCTTACCCTCATTAAAGGGATGGAGGCGACACCAACAGAGCTATCAGAGTGATAATACTGTCTGAAGTGAACCAGAAGTATACAGCAACAGATTTCTCACACTGAACCTTCACATGAGCAGCAAAATGAACGGATCCTGGTCTTCTATGGCTGTAAATCCTATATCCCCTAAAACTTGATTACAGTTCCTTCCTCTGTCTCAAGTTCCCTAACCATCTTTACACTGTGCCCTCAGCTGGCAGCAGCTGCCTCTGTGCCCCTGGCAGCCCCATTTGGACATCTGGGTGCTTCCACATTTGCCATCTGCCTGTGCTAATGATGTTACAGTTACTAACTGAAGATTGTATTTGACGTAAAAAGAAAATAATATACTAACAGTGAGGAAAAAAAAAGAAAACTCTTGCACTCAATTACGTTAGAGTAACATTAGTTGCTTCTAAGCGTCCAAATTACAACAAATAGCTTTCCTTTGACTGTAGAAGCAAATTTATTATCTGATCACACTCTGTTGTCTGTTTTTATCTTTAGTGTTTACAGTTCCTTTTTATCCTGAAAAATCCAGAGTAGAAATTCCACTATGATAAACACAATTATTTCACCTATGGTTTGCAGGATAAATTAATCTGCAATTAGCTAGGGTTATTCTGTGGAAGAGAAAAAGGAACCAGCAGTTGTTAGTGACTCAGGCTTCAGAAGAATCTTTCCTCTAAACCAATGTTTTGAAATTATAAAAAATATAAAAAGTAGACTACTTTTAAATGTCAAACTAGGCTATAATCCCATGTGATCATCTTTCACTACAAGATTCTTCCATATTATTTGTTCGGTTTGAGTGCTTTTATAGGATACTATCATTGTCAACATGCTCTTTATTTCAAAACAATAACAACAGTTATTAGATGAAAAAGGACCAGCACCAGAGGCTCAGAACACAAAATGCCGCAAGATTTAAAAGATGATTTAAAAACTAGTTTAATACATATTATGGATTTAATTCTTAAAAACCTGGACTGACAATACATGCACATGAACGACAGGAATGCAAGCTGTGCCATGAGGGCTGCCAGAGCACCACAACACAGCCTTCTCTGCAATAACAGAACTAAATAAATTATCAGGCATTAAAATTAAGGCTGAGCCTCCAACCAGGCCCAACACCATCACTATTTATGTCATCAAGCTGAACCTAGTTAATGCAATGTTTGAAATCCTGAAACTGATAATGCATTTTCTTAATCCCTGATACCTAAGGGTGTCCCTTAGAGAAGAGGAGACTGAGGGGAGACATCATCACAGTCTACAGCTTCCTCACGAGGGGAAGTGGAGGGGCAGGCACTGATCTTGTCTGGTGACCACTGACAAGACCTGAGGGAACAGCATGAAGCTGTGTTAGGAGAGGTTTAGGCCAGATATTAGGAAAAGGTTCTTCAACCAGAGGGTGGTTGGGCATTGGAACAGGCTCCCCAGGGAAGTGGTCATGGCACCAAGCCTGACAGATTTAAAGAAGTGTTTCAACAATGCTCTCAGACACATGGTGTGATTTTTGGGGTTGTCTTGGGGATATTCTATTATTCTATGATTTTAGCATCAGGATCGTCCCACAAACATTCAAACTGCTTTCACTGACCTCAGTTTAAAAGTATGCCTTGAGAAAATAAAGGCTGAAAATATCCATGCTGGAGGCTGAGCAACTAAGCTAGTAGCAAGAGAATGACATACTCCAAGTTACAGGAGAAGCTTATAGTAGAGCTAGGACTGCAGACTCTGTAGTAGTTTTCTGCTGTAGCTATATCACAGGGAGAGAAACATTTTATTATGAGTTGTTGGCATTGTTTTATATCATGTCTTAAATCAAGGACTGAAAAATTCTCTCTCATTTCTCTCTCTCTCTCTTTGTTTTTAGTCTTGAGTCATGTCTTTTGGGCTTCACCTTGAACTCCAACATACCCAAATCAATGTGAAATTCTGCCAAATCTATTAAAGCTAGAATTCTGGGATTGGATTTTGTGGTTCTTTCATTGTGCTTTTTTCTTTTGTTGCCTTTTTTCTTTTTTTTTTTTTTTTTGGCATTGGTTTTTTTTTGTGGCTTTTTTGAGAGTTTTTTGCTGTTGTTTGGGGCTTTTTGGATTTTTTTTATGATACAAGTTTCTTTCTAAGTCAGCACAGTTTTGCAGAAGATTCAGCCCACATTTCTGTGTTTTTCAGAGACTGCAGCCAAATTTTCAGGTTGCAAGAAAACCCTAAAACTTCACACAGAATGTTTAATTTGATTGCAGGTTTTGTTATGAAAGTACCAGATGGAGTGAAGTAGTCAAATATCTCCCCAAAACATTAAGATCCTCATAAATTGTGCACGTTTTGTGACATTTCAGTGTTTGCATGACCCCATACTATTTCACATGACCCCATGCTGAACACAAACTCTTCTCTGCTGTAGTTTCATTGACACCATGAAGTCCCAAAAAGGGACTGCTTACTTTGATGGAAGATGATATTTACTTTCTACCATAAGCCTTTGCCCTTTACTGATTCTCAGATCTTCCCTCTCTACACAGAGCAGCTACATTCATAAAAGAATTGCCATGGTTTACAACATGCTGCATTAAACAGTAGTGTAACAGTAGTGTTTGGGTATTTTAGAATATAGTTCAATATAGTAGAAGCTGCTATATGAGCAGCTATATGAGCTGTCCCTTGTACAGACAATTGAGTGCCTCACAACGTACAGCACTCCTTGTTAACCAGAGCTCCTGTGACAGAACTGTATCAAGGAGCATCTAGGTTCCTGGAGAGAGAAAAGACAAATGTAAGTAATAAAAATCTGTGCATTTCGAGATGGTAGAGTTACTTCTGAGGCATTCATACCCTTAAACCACAGTATAAAAAAATAACATATGCATCACATAGTACTTTATAATATGTTTCCATTTTTCTATTGAGGTATATTTACCATATTTGATAGCTTGATGCTGCAGTTCTTAAACAAAAACATGCCTCACCATGTAAGTAACTCAATGGCTTTCAGTGTGACTGAACAGTACCATGTTCCACAAGGGATGTCACTGAAACCACCAAGACAACTCAAGGAGAAGAATTTGGCTGTAACCATTCAAGGGAAGTATCTGCTTGTTCTAAACAAGACTTTAACCAGAAAGCTCAATTGCTTGCCCTTTTGAAGTAAGTACAGCTGACTTTCAAACAACTCCCAGTCGCACTTAAAATTAATTCATAGCTTTGAATTGTTATCATGGACTTTTGCTCAAGGCATCTTAAAAAACATGCTGAAATGTAAATTTTAATGTACTGAGGGTTGTTTCAAGTGGTCTGAACAGTGATATTTTCTAGCTATTTTTTTGACATAAACAATTCTGATGAACTTCATTTTAGGATGCTTACAGAACTGACTGAAGCAATCTCAAACCTAATAGCAGCTACTTTTGAGAGCTTCTGAGGAACAGCAAAAGCACTGAACAATGAAAGGTCAAATGCAGTGCCTATCTTTAACAAAGAGAAGGATACAGAGAATTGATAAATTACAAACTAATTAATTTATCTCCAGTTCTACAAATCTAATAAAACAAACCTTGTGCTCTAATCAGACTGGTAATGTCTCTCCTGAAGATGTGTGTGTGATTCTGCACGTTGCACTTCAAAGGAGATAGGGATCAAGGGAAACCAAAGGCAAGGAATGAGAATGATTGAACACCTATAAAGGCTGACTAGTGAGGAAGAGTTCAGTAGCTGGATTGTTCAGAGTATAGAGTCCAAGGACAAGGATGTGCTCACAGTCCCTTGGGGCTGCTGCTGAGAGTAGAATGAGCAGGCTGAGGAATCTAGGAAGACAGGCCAATGGGCAGTGGCATGCAATGGCAGCAAAGAAATTTCAAACTAGCTATTAGAAGCAACTTTCTAGATGTACAACTGGTGGAGCACTGCCATGAGGCCTCCTATGGCGACCAGTGAGGCTCCATCAGCTATTTTAAAACAGGGTTAGGGACACACCTGTAATGGCCTTGATATATTTGGCCCAGAGCAGAGGCAAGGGGAGGATAAGAACATTCAGGGGTGCTCCTAGTTTTCTTTTATTGTCTTATTTAGAAAGCTATTCTTTCCCAGATGTAACTTATAAATCTAGCAACTTTTTTCCCTTGAGAATAAATATTTTTTGTCTGCTGTATGTTTTTTTAAATGTAAACCTTAAGTTCCAGTGAAATCACAGGCTGTCATGCCCTGCTGTCCTAGCTATGACTACACATAGGCTTTGCACTTACAGAGCTATTTTTAAAGTATATGGTTTTCAATCAGATGCCTTGTTTTATTTTCAGGTGTGAACTCCTGTGTCATTCACCGTCTTATACAACAGTTATATTCATGTAAACTAATTTTTTTAATACGGCAATTGTATCCAGATGAAACTGTATCACTGGTGGCTATTTAACTGTACATCAAAGACCATAAACCATATATACAAAAGTTAGGAAGCACTAGAGTGAGGGCTGTCACCTTAACTTTACACCGTGATCTCACTGCATAGAGATCTTCAGTTACATGATGATGCTTCTTCTTTTATACCAGAGAAATCTTGTCTCAGTTGGCAGAACTGGTAACACTCAGAGATTTTAGCAGAGCAGTACAGTGAAGGGGATGGCTGGCTGGTCTCAGCTCAGACAAAAATACACTGAGAACTGGATTCCATCTGAACCTTTCTGACATGCTTCTCTGTAACAATGGCAAATCAGTGACACCTTCCTTTCTTAGGTGAGCTCTAATTTCTCGATTCACTGATCACTGATTTGAAGCACTGCAGCTTAGTCTGCAGAAATTTAAAGTGCTCTCACTTGCAACTGGAATCAGTGAGAGATGTGCTTTGAAATGCAAAGTGACACTTCATGCTGAAAAATCCAGTTCTCAGTATTTCAAATACAGTAAATAGCTTTGACATGCACCTAATTTTCTCCTTGGTTTCTAACCTCTCCTAAAGCAAAAAATTACAGCATGTCCCTATAAATGCAACAGCATTGTAACTTATATTTGAATATACAGGGTCATGTTTGGATATCTTCTAACAGCAGATTCATATATCATGTGTGAGCTTGAAAATCAGCTTAATCTAATTTCAGAAAGAAAAGCAGTGCATGATTCATATTAATGCTCATTAGAATCAAAGTTTAAAACCGAAAACCTGTAATTGGAGTTATTCTATTAGGTACATGTTTGTTGATGCTGAATGGATAAAACAGCAATTCAGAATGCTATTGAAACCAAAGAGCTGCTGGCAGACGATGTAGCATGTGGCTGTGGCAGCTGCAGTGTGACTGCTGCCTACCTGCATTTCATATTAGTAACAAACCGGTACTTTTCTCCCTCCAGTTATTTAATTTGGAGGATTTGTCAAACACTCTGGTTTTCAGGTCTGGTTCAATTAATGGGTAAGACTAGAAAATTCGGTCACCTGTAAACAGGTCTCTAGCCCAAAAGACTAAGAGCTCTTGTTATGTACATCTGTTGAAATTGTCTAGTACTACTACTACTATTATTTTTCTAACCAAAACATAGAATTGAATTCAAAATTTGAATCACATAGAACTGTATCGTAGATAAACAGTCTCCTCCCCTTCAGCTTCTCACCTTACAAAGTCCACCTTCCTTCACTTTCGGTCTCTTTGTTTTGTCCATGCACGTGAAAGCAATAACACTCCATTTTAAAGAAAGAGCTGCATCTTTTTGAATTTGATGTCACAGAAGAAAAAGGTCACTCTGTTGTTAGTCTTAGAAAGTATAAGCAACTGCCAAACAGACTGCCCTCAGTGGTCATCTTTTATAAATGATGGTGAATATTACATTAGAAAAGTTGGTAACTTTGAAATCTTGCAGGCTGTTTTATTTGAGCCCACACAGAAGACGCAGGAAAAGCACCAGAGCTGTGATGCACCACCACAACCAGGCAAAGGGCATGGAATAAAAACAGCACCATACCACTACCAGTGATAGCACTGAGGGTGTTATTTGCTTTACTGATGTACTTCAAATAAAAAGAGAAAGGAAAATCTCCATAGCATCACATTAGGAATACAAAATAGCTGCAAATATAAGTGACACTTAATCTTGGGGAAATATTTTGGATAGTTAATAAAAAATCCTGATTATCATATCTCTCGTGAGCTAATAGGCACACTTGTTTTCAGACATGCTCATTTGCTGTAAGTAATGGCTACAATAAAACTGAACTGTGCCATGAAATATTCTGTATGAGCTGAAAGTGGAGCTGCTTTGAGCAGTTCACACTGCATCAAGGGGAAGGCCAAATTAAATGCTGCAAATAGAGAACAGTGCTACTGAAGTTAAAGGCACAGGGATCAGCATCCTGTGCTGAGATCATTCACTAAATTGAAGGCCAGGCACACAGGTGTCCCATCATACTGGAGCACAGTCAAAATAGTTGGCCTCATGCTAAAATGATACGATAGGAAGACTCTACTGCTGACAGTGAGGGTATTGTATTGAGCCTCACATACAAGAAGGAAGGCAGAGCCTCTGGCACCTTCTGATTTAGTAGTGTGAAAAGGAGTAGGTACAACCTAAAAGTTCCCATATTTATGTTTCTGTTAGCTTTTTCTTGTTAACTTACTTTTCTGGTTTTAGATCCCTGTAAATAATTCCAAGACCATGGAGATGGTCTAGTGCCAAGGCCAGCTCAGCTAAGTAGAACTTGACATCCTCTTCTGTAAACATCACCTAGAGAGAAGGAAGAGAAGAACACATCTATTTATTGGACAGCAGTGTGCTGGCTTGTGTTAAACCGACGTGGGGGAGGAATTGTCTAACTTGGGAATGCTGGAAGGACCATCATATCAGGTTCAATTTTCCATAATTTGTCTGAGCTCACATTAACAATTCTTACTAGACTGTCCTTATAAAACAAAACTTTATCTGTGGAGTACTTCTGTTGCTTAAAATATGCTGCTCTCAATTTGTCTGTTTGAGCTGTTTAGATGACATCATATTGCAATAATATGAATGAAGTTCTACGTCCTTAGCCTTTGGCAATGAATGGCAAAATTAAACACATCCAGTGCAGCCTTTATTGCTTTCATATCCCTTAATTTGCTAAATTCTTGGCATTTGGTTACCAAATTACCACAAAATAGCATGGGAAAACCTTTTGGGGAAAGGAAATTCTTCCAAATCTGAGCAGAATACACAGCATGAAGAGACTCGGAGATGGATTTAAAACCTCATGCACTGATGGTTCAAGTGCATTGTGTAACATCCAGGGCCATATCAGGTGCAAACTGAGGGCATATATATCACATGTAGCTGATAGGACACTGCTAACACTGAAAGCTCTGGTTTAGATGAGAAGATGAGAAAAACCACCAAGCTCAGAAAAACTCAGATGGCAAGAAAACCCTTTGGTTCAACTACCATTGTATCTCAGATGTTCTCTTTTTATTAAACTTCAATATGCACCGAGATAATAAGCAGAAAGGGAGGCTGATATATTGGATACACAAGTGTGAATACTATGTATGACAGAAGTAAAATGAGTCAGTTCAATACAAATTTACTTGTCATATATAAATGTAAATATCTACAGTAGAAGTTGCATAGCTTAATTTTAAAATTAAGTCTCTGCTCTCAGGAGGGGGCAGCCAAAATACTTGAGTGCTCTGAGAAACTCCAGAGGGCTGGAGAGAGAGAAAAGAGATGATTCAGAGAACAGATGTCACATAATTTAATTAAGACTATCACTGCAAGACTAAAAATAAAAACATAATAAAATAATAAATAAATACACAAGCAAAAAGTCTGACTAAAAATGTAATTGTACTGAACGTTAAAAATGCATGAATTTTCAAAATAAATTTAAACTATTTATAAGATTTAAAATAAATAATGTAGACAAGAAATTAAATCAACGGAATCAGGGAAAATCTAATCTACACAGATACACCTAGTTAAATCAGATGTTTCAGAAAGAGCAAGAAATAAGCAAGCTTTGCATGCACCCATGCAAGATACGTATATGGGGATCTGACTGAAAGACCACTGAAATCAATACCATTCAACCAAGTCCCAAATAACAAACTGCAAACACTACAAGTTTTCCCATAACTTCTTCCCTTGTGATACCTTGCGACTAATAAGCTGTAAACTATAGACAGACAAGGTGAGCTGCAAACACTGAAAAAACAGAAGTATGTTTTTACTGTCAAGTTAAGAGGACTTGTTCTTGATGGTAAAAAGCAGAGAAGTCAGTGAATTGCACTGGAAAAGCTTTGGGGAAAATGTGAAACTTTAAAGGAGTACAAAGACTGAGCTGTTATCTTCCACTTTTGAGTTCCCTGGTTGTGCAGAACAAGGACCTGCCCTCTATACGCGAGTCACGTTTTCTCTCTCCTTCCATGAAACCAGAGTCCCTTGCTGAGACGGCAGCGCTGCCTTGCTAATAAAGCCTACTCTCATGACAAACAGCAGAAGGATATTTTCATTTTTTAAAATCTTTTTCCTCATATTAAAAATAACTGCTACCATGTACTGAGTGTACAAGTATCATTACTCAGCAGTGTAATTAACCTGTTACCAGTGCCTTCTTGCATTAGCAAACAAGCCTTGAAAGCAAACACTTGGGGTCGCAAGCTGTGGTACGCACAGCAGCCCATGGCATGTCACCAAACTAGGAACTGAATGGGGAAAAAAAAAAGCTAGGAAACTTTTGACTAAAATTAATGTTTTCACAGCTTTTTTAGTCCATTGGTACTCCCCAAACCCAAGAAGAGCTTTACCTCAAGATGGCATTTTGAAGGTCCTTATCTTTAAAGACTGTGTGATAAGTGGTTGCCTGCACTGCTGTCTCCACAACCTAGAAAGTGACCAGGGGCTGGGGACATCATGTTGGTGACAGAGAACTCTAGGGAGTGGACAACTGCAGGGCTGCCAGCCTGTCTCTCTGGAGCCTCCTGCACTGCCTGCAGGGACCTCTCTGAGGCTGTTGGCTCACAGAGGTGTTTGGAGGTGCAGGAACGCATTCATTTAGCCAACAAACCCAGAAAACCTTGTGCTGCTGCTCTGTATGGGCATTAGTGAGAGTTCAGTTTGGGCCATTCCCTGGCTGCCTTTTCTGCCTGCAGCAGCTCCTTTCCAGGGGCAGAGCATGCAGAGGACAGGGGAGGGATGAGAGCTTAGGGAGGTGATGGAAGCAGCAGCTGCTCCTGGCAGGCAGGAGGAGAGCAGGTGAGGGCCCCAGGGTGGTGTGTGGCCTCTGACCTGCTCCCAGCAGCTGCAGCAGGACACGTCTCTCTCCCCACTTGCTGCAGAGGCCAACCCTGACCCATGGCCATCTCTTCTCCCTGCTGGCAGTGTGTGTGTTTTTCCAGTGATTCTGTGCTCAGCTCCAGGGCAATATGTATTGAGGATTGATTTCTCAGACTGTTTCTCATCACATCCAAGATTTGTTTTGAAAGCAATGAGTCTGGGGCTATTTTGCTATGGGAATGGCTTAGCAGTGGTGCAGTTTTCTCTGTCAGTGATGCCTACATGCTAGCTGCTGCATCACCTATGGCGCAATTCAAATACAATTATTAAGAACCCACTTAAAGAAGCAAGATGAGACAGCTCTATTACAAATATATAGGACTATTCCCAAGGCCATTTTCCATTCCCATCAACTTCATCTGAGTTCTGAAAATCTGAGACAGTCTTTAATTTTTATATTGAAGATCTATCAGCTTACCTCTTTGGAGAGTCTGGTGAAAAGGTCCCCTCCCCGCAGGAAATCTAGTATTAGATACAATTTTCCCTCTGTTTGAAATGCTGCATTAGAAAAGGATGGAGATGTTGGAAGTTTGAATCAAGATAAAATCTCCAAATATAATCTTGTTGACTAGCAGTTTGTCATTCATGCCATTGCTTCACTGCCACTTCAGAACTTTGAGAACTGAAAAAATTAATTTCTGTATAGAACTAAGCAATCAAGCTTAGACCATGGGAAAAATGGCATCAGTTCAGAGACAACAATGTATTACTAGCATATTCATTTTCACACTAAGCACCTATGAATGATGTGCTTCCCACTGCACAAGGTACCAGGAGTCACTGAAGGAGGAGTGTCACAGGGAGGAGTTCCCAGGCTTGTGTGAGAGAACCCATACTATCCAAATGTCCTCAGAATACCCATTATAGTAATGGTGGGGTTCCTCAGGGAGCTGAGGATGCAACTCCAGCAAGATACCACGTTCATATACACATATATACAAATCTGGACTGGTACTAATTTTTAAAACCTGTTTTTATTTAGATTCTCTGTCTTTCTAAATGATACCTGACAGCAGGTAAGGGGGTTGGAAGATACATACTCATCAGATACCCCACCAGCACTACCTATAATGTCAGACTATGACAAATCTATTTTGATGGAGGAATGGCTAAAACTTACTTATACTCCAATTCTCCTTTAGCATAAATGAAGAATTTCACACAGACAACCTCTATGACTTTGTTAGAAACAGAGTCATAAGTAGGCTGGGGAGGTCTGTATGAAATTATAACACATCTAGTTACAATTCCCCAACCAATTTAAGAACAAACATGAATTATATTTTATTATAGTTACCATAATGAAGCTTGACTATGAAAGGATGGTTCACTTCTGCCAAAATATCTCTTTCCATTTTTGATCGTACCCGATCCCGAACTATAAAGAAAGAACAATAAGAACAGGGACATATTACAAGGCAGCATGGGCACTGGTTCACAGCACTGGAATGAGGTTCAGGCAATCTGAATTCTGCTTCTCACTCTGTTGATGGCTTGAGTGTTCTCTTTTTCTGCCTGTATTGTCTGTGTAGTAAGAATAAGTTCTTCAGGAAGGCACCATGTCCTCCTCTGTGGAGAACTGCCCCAACTAAAAGGACTACAGTATTACAAACAACAGGAAGGCAATTACACTTCACAGAAGAGAATGTGAAAATGAAAACTACAGAAGGTTAATAATTTTATTTCATTTAAGATTAAACAGAATGTATCACTCCTAGAGCAAGTTGGGTTAATCTCGTGCAAATTAACTTACTGTATTTTGCTGATGCTAGCACTGTTTGTGATATATCACTGAATAGCAATCTCTGGAAGTGATATATAAAATATTTAAAGCTTCCAATAAACTACCCAAGCAATAAGGAATAAAGAAAAAATGCTGAATAAAAATAGCAACTAACTATTTTTATGTGTAGAGATAAATTATTGTGCGATAGCAGTGAGAAAGACTTTTTGTGGTTGAGAAGAATAGAGAGTAAGGGAAATCATAGTTACAGAGGTGAGCTCAGTTCAAGCAAATCAAAACTGATGCTGAAGATTTCACAGCAAAAACATAACAAAACATTCACACACTGAGAAGGGTTCAAGTCCCCATATTATCAAATCTTGATCTTAAAGGTGTATTTTTCAGTCAATCACTATTTTATTGAAAGTACTGACATTTTCTTCTTCCTCAATCCTTACACAATGCCATTATGTTTTTCATGTGACGACAAGAGGTGTTATGAAACTGTTTTAGGTTGCAAAGCCTGAGATCTCAGTGAGATTCTGTCACTGCCTGCATGTGTTTTGGAACTGCTGGGAAGCTGAGTACTCTCAGCACCCAAGTAATGAACATATCATAATAAAACCACACAGTCTGTTGCTGCACTTCAAAAATTGATGCACAGAAACAGATCCAAACCAGCTGATCTGAAAACCTTAAATAGGACTGGAGAGATACTTGGATTTCTTGCTATTTTGATGCTTTACTTAGGTCAGTAGTGATGTAAGCTTTACTAGCTCATTCAACCTAAACTACCTTGTAGATAAAATTCAAAACAAAGAGAATCTTATTCTTACGTCACGAGTGAAATCACACGTCATACACTCACAAAATGCTTAATCTATGTGAAAGCAGAGCATTTCTTATGCTGGAGA